ACTCGCAATTGTGACTATATCACACAATTCTAACTTTCTAACTCACAATTGTGACTATATCACGCAATTCTAACTTTATAACTCGCAATTGTGACTATATCACGCAATTCTAACTTTTTAACTCGCAATTGTGAATATATAACACAATTCTAACTTTATAACTCACAATTGTGACTATATCACACAATTCTAACTTTATAACTCACAATTGTGACTATATCACGCAATTCTAACTTTATAACTCGCAATTCTAACTTTATAACTCACAATTGTGACTATATCACGCAATTCTAACTTTATAACTCGCAATTGTGACTATATCACACAATTCTAACTTTATAACTCACAATTGTGACTATATCACACAATTCTAACTTTATAACTCACAATTGTGACTATATCACACAATTCTAACTTTATAACTCACAATTTTGACTATATCACACAATTCTAACTTTATAACTCACAATTGTGACTATATCACACAATTCTAACTTTATAACTCACAATTTTGACTATATCACACAATTCTAACTTTATAACTCACAATTTTGACTATATCACACAATTCTAACTTTATAACTCACAATTGTGACTATATCACACAATTCTAACTTTATAACTCACAATTTTGACTATATCACACAATTCTAACTTTATAACTCACAATTTTGACTATATCACACAATTCTAACTTTATAACTCACAATTGTGACTATATCACACAATTCTAACTTTATAACTCACAATTGTGACTATATCACACAATTCTAACTTTATAACTCACAATTTTGACTATATCACACAATTCTAACTTTATAACTCACAATTGTGACTATATCACACAATTCTAACTTTATAACTCACAATTTTGACTATATCACACAATTCTAACTTTATAACTCACAATTGTGACTATATCACACAATTCTAACTTTATAACTCGCAATTGTGACTATATCACACAATTCTAACTTTATAACTCAAAAATTGTGACTATATCACGCAATTCTAACTTTATAACTCACAGTTGTGACTATATCACACAATTCTAACTTTATAACTCACAATTGTGACTATATCACACAATTCTAACTTTATAACTCACAATTGTGACTATATCACACACAATTCTAACTTTATAACTCACAATTATGACTATATCACGCAATTCTAACTTTATAATTTACAATTGTGACTATATCACACAATTCTAACTTTATAACTCACAATTGTGACTATATCACACAATTCTAACTTTATAACTCACAATTATGACTATATCACGTAATTCTAACTTTATAATTTACAATTGTGACTATATCACACAATTCTAACTTTATAACTCACAATTGTGACTATATCACACAATTCTAACTTTATTACTCACAATTGTGACTATATCACACAATTCTAACTTTATAACTCACAATTGTGACTATATCACACAATTCTAACTTTATAACTCACAATTGTGACTATATCACACAATTCTAACTTTATAACTCACAATTGTGACTATATCACACAATTCTAACTTTATAACTCACAATTGTGACTATATCACACAATTCTAACTTTATAACTCACAAATTGTGACTATATCACGCAATTCTAACTTTATAACTCACAATTGTGACTATATCACACAATTCTAACTTTATAACTCACAATTGTGACTATATCACACAATTCTAACTTTATAACTCACAATTGTGACTATATCACACAATTATAACTTTATAACTCACAATTATGACTATATCACGCAATTCTAACTTTATAACTCACAATTGTGACTATATTGGGCAATTCTAACTTTATAACTCGCAATTATGACTATATCACGCAATTCTAACTTTATAACTCACAATTTTGACTATATAACACAATTCTAACTTTATATCTCACAAATTCTGACTATATTGGGCAATTCTAACTTTATAACTCGCAATTGCGACTTTATATCACACAATTCTAACTTTATAACTCACAATTGTGACTATATCATGCAATTCTAACTTTATAACTCACAATTGTGACTATATCACACAATTCTAACTTTATAACTCACAATTGTGACTATATCACACAATTCTAACTTTATAACTCACAATTGTGACTATATCACGCAATTCTAACTTTATAACTCACAATTGTGACTATATCACACAATTGTAACTTTATAACTCACAATTGTGACTATATCACACAATTCTAACTTTATAACTCACAATTGTGACTATATCACACAATTCTAACTTTATAACTCAAAAATTGTGACTATATCACGCAATTCTAACTTTATAACTCACAATTGTGACTATATCACACAATTCTAACTTTATAACTCACAATTGTGACTATATCACACAATTCTAACTTTATAACTCACAATTGTGACTATATCACACACAATTCTAACTTTATAACTCACAATTATGACTATATCACGCAATTCTAACTTTATAATTTACAATTGTGACTATATCACACAATTCTAACTTTATAACTCACAATTGTGACTATATCACACAATTCTAACTTTATAACTCACAATTATGACTATATCACGTAATTCTAACTTTATAATTTACAATTGTGACTATATCACACAATTCTAACTTTATAACTCACAATTGTGACTATATCACACAATTCTAACTTTATTACTCACAATTGTGACTATATCACACAATTCTAACTTTATAACTCACAATTGTGACTATATCACACAATTCTAACTTTATAACTCACAATTGTGACTATATCACACAATTCTAACTTTATAACTCACAATTGTGACTATATCACACAATTCGAACTTTATAACTCACAATTGTGACTATATCACACAATTCTAACTTTATAACTCACAAATTGTGACTATATCACGCAATTCTAACTTTATAACTCACAATTGTGACTATATCACACAATTCTAACTTTATAACTCACAATTGTGACTATATCACACAATTCTAACTTTATGACTCACAATTGTGACTATATCACACAATTCTAACTTTATAACTCACAATTGTGACTATATCACACAATTATAACTTTATAACTCACAATTATGACTATATCACGCAATTCTAACTTTATAACTCACAATTGTGACTATATCACACAATTCTAACTTTATAACTCGCAATTATGACTATATCACGCAATTCTAACTTTATAACTCACAATTTTGACTATATAACACAATTCTAACTTTATATCTCACAAATTGTGACTATATTGGGCAATTCTAACTTTATAACTCGCAATTGCGACTTTATATCACACAATTCTGACTTTATAAATCATAATTCGGGCTTTATATCACGCAGTTCTGACTTTATAACTTGCGATTGTGACTATCACACAATTCTAACTTTATATCTCACAAATTGTGACTATATTGGGCAATTCTAACTTTATAACTCGCAATTGCGACTTTATATCACGCAATTCTGACTTTATAACTCACAATTCTGACTTTATATCACGCAGTTCTGACTTTATAACTTGCGATTGTCACAGAAAGCTTTCATAGATTTTCCACATTCATGAACAACCAAGAATTATCAAAATCCCGGGAAGAGTCACTTCAAACTTAAAAGTCACATGGAAATTTCTACATTTTTCTAAACGCCCAGCATGATCAACATTTGCATGCATTATTCTGGGTCTGAGAATATGGAGATTATTGTTTATATAAGATCACTACGCTGTGGTTCTTTGTTCTTTCAAACCTTTATGCATTTGAATATCGTCCACCTTCTCAGGTACACAATGCAAATCTTGTGTGGTTGTGTTGTGTAACACGTATATCAGCTCATCAATCAATGTTAATGGTGGATCATAGGGTTCTTTCATAAACACAATCTGCATTTCATGAACATTTATAGCAGGATTCGATATCACAGTCTTTGGTATCTCTTTCTCTTGCCATTGAGCAAACAAAAAAAAAAGCATTTTTAAATATCTATTTCCTTATAGAATATCACCTCCAGGCATTGATTACCACAGATAACATAAGACCACAAACTGGCACTGACATTACAGTAATATCGTCCACTAATATTTGTATACTGTGTATAAATAGTACAGTGTATAATATTGCATAAATGGAAATCTGGGACTGAAAATACTGTCTATTTTTAACGAAGTAGCATAAAAAAAAAAAAAAAAAATCAGTATGAATATACTACAATCTGTATACAATATTAGATAAATAGAGGCCCTAAAATATTTAGACACCTTTGAACACTAATTATATTATATACCGTCAAACCAAAATTTCTTCAGCATTTCTCACATTATCTCAGTTTATTCACTATAGTTTAGAAAATGGTAATAAATATGAGCAGAACTCAGTTCTCAGATCAGTGGATATTTGACTGGTTTTGCCCGTCCTTCTGTTCGACTCTCACACATGAATTATGTTGAATATCTGTCAGCTGTTAAATTTAACTACACAATTAGATAATACCAGTTTAGCCCAACCAGTGACCAAGCAATGCTTCATGTTGTTCAGTGTGTGTGTAAAAAGAGCATTAGCAGTTACAGAAAACACACTTCAGCAAAACATGATCAGCTCAAAGTGTCTGGTAGTCTCTGTATGAAGGATTTTTGTGTATAATATCTCACAGTTTCCTATATTTTGCTCTCCTCACTTACATAAATGAACTATAGTGTCCTGCACACACTAAAAAAATATCAAAAATTATATCAAGTGACGGAATAATTTTTGGTTTGACTGTGTTTGTGTACAGGTACACACACACTCACACACACACACACACACACACACACACACACACACACACACACACACACGCCTATAGACGTCTCTTTTACTCCCCCTGCTGGAGGATCTTCTGCACTACCGCTGCGATTAGTGCGCATGCGCAAGTGAGTCAGTCATCTCGAGTTCTAATGGGCGGGGTTTGTTTGAGCGGCTGCGAGCAGCGGCATCAGATCCGCCGTGTGTGTAGATGGGT